CTACTATCTTCCTTGGATAGCTGGTCCATCCCCTCTCTGTTGATGAAGGGCCATATTGTAGTTAATGCAGGTCTTCATATATTTATCACCACTAAGATTGGAACAGGCTGTTCTTTTCATCTCTCTGGCTTCTTGTGTAAAACAGATCAATTGCATCATGCCAGCAAACTTTTCCTTGGACTGCAACATGTTTTGCAGCAGTAGGAATGTCTGAAATTACTGGAACAAGATGCTGAAAGTTAGATTTTAAATCTAGCATCATTATAGATGATGGAGATTGGTGTCAGACAAGCAAGACTGAAATGCACCACCTGCAAGAATAACTGTCTGATGGGATGCTGACATCTGCTCTAGCCTCAGTCATTGTTGTGAACCATAGGCTGTCAAACTGCTCTGTCTAAGGCTTTTACATTCCTTCAGACCAGGCTTAAACTGGGTGTGTTTTGTGAAGTTTGGCTGTTGACGTGTGCTTACAGGTGGAAAAGAAGAAAACGAATTTGAGAGTGAGAACACCCAGGGCTGATGATGTGGTGTTACGGACATCACAAGGGAACCATTTCTCTTGAAATAATCAGCTGAGGACTATTCCGCAGAAGTCAAGGTTTAAAAGCTTCAATCTACCTTTTTTTAGAGAAGGAGTAAAAAAATTTCTGCAGAGTGCTGACAGGTTTTGTCACTATTTTTGGAATATTTCCACTGCGTATAGGAAAGCAGTGCTCTCGGTTTGCATGTAACAGGCTCCAAGCCACTGAGTCAGCATCCCTGCCGAACCCTTGGCCAAAGCTTTATTTTGTGTTCATGATCTTCATATTTGCACCGCTTCGTTCAAGCTGCTCTTCTTCCTTTCTTGGCTCTGCGTAAGGCAGAAGTGAAAAGGAGGTAGTATGTGGCCTTCATCAGCCAAATGGTTGAAATTACATGTGGAAGCCAGGAGTTCCTTGGCATTTCACAGTGCAGGGGCAGCTCCTCCTGCCAAGGCTGACTTTGCTTCTTCCCCACTTCAGCCACTGCCCATGATTCCCCCATCCTGCAAAAAGCTGCACTGAAGGGGAAGGAAATCTGCTGTCATGAAACCCTCAGCTGCTGTCCAGGGCAACGTAGATGGGGTGCAGCTGTTAGTGTTGCAGGTGAGGGTGCAAACCCAGGAGACCTCCGAAGAATAAGGTTAGCCTTATCCAAAGTTTCCCCTCCACATGATACTACCCGTCTGGCGATCCAGTCGAAATCACATTCACCCTTCTCACAAACTGCGCCTCGCCAAAGGTCTGTCTTTTTGAGAAGTTCAGAGGTGTGAATTTGCAATAGTCTTGTTATCTTTCATGGTGAGGGTCTTGAGGGGTGGTAAGTGCAGGGTGTCTGACTTTTCTTTCAGGGAAAAGTATCCCATGCAAATGCCATTTAATATGACCTAAAGCTCATACCAGAGGAGATGGTGCAAATTAGCAGATGGACTACAAATCTGCACTGGCTTATTGCACGCTGACTTTCCTGAGAAGAACATGTTAACTTTATTTGTACTCTTTCTTTTCTAGTAGATCTAATAACATTCTTTTTTTTTTTTTAATAAACCTCAGGCATGAATATTTATTGGCTCATCACTAAGTTGAAGACTTAGAGCTTGTAACAGCTACATATTGTGTCTTGAGATGTTGCCTTCAGATGTGTGTGAGTCTGTCACCTTTACATGGAAATGTAAGTATGATACTTGCATTCCCTGTGAGGAAACTGGTTAGTGTATTACAAAGAACAGAAGAGCAAAAGAGAGAGCAAGCAACAAAAGCAAATGTATATGACTACAGCACTTTGTGGCTTTTGCAGTGGAAACAATACCACAGAGATAGTGGCGGCAAAGAAACATCCCATTGTCATGGCTGCATTCGGTCCTCTGCTCTACTGCGCCTCAGAAGACGGAGATGTCTAGCAATGCAGTGGGCTAACCAGAGGCCAAGCATCCTCAGCCATGGGCTGACAGGCCTAACTAAAGACAGGTCCTGTACCACAACACTGGGAGATGTCTCCTTTTCTCTTGGTGCCCCAGTTTTCTTGCTGGCTTGGGTTCAGCCCAGCAGTGTTACTGCCTGTGTAATGGGTAGGAGAAAGGGTGTCTGCAACGAGCAGAAGAGCGTGAAGGCATGGTTACCTGCAGACCTCACCTCGTCCTGCCCTGCACAACCTGGGACAGGGTTTGAATTGCAGCAATAGCCCGTCCTATTCCTGGAGGGGCATCACTGTTTGGTGCGGGGGGCTGCTTTGCCAGTGCTCCCTGCTGCAGCTGGTTTCAGGACATGCATGCCACACTGCATCACTGGAGGTACATGCTGGCCTCCAGAACTTCTGTGTAGCTGTAGCCCAAAGCTGCTGTGCTTTCCAGAGGTACCCATTTGCCTTCCGACACCCTCTCCTTAATGCTTTCCCTTGGGGGGGAAGCAGGGACTTCCAGTGCTTCCCTCCCGGTGACATCCAGAAAATACCTTCCTTCTAAAACGGGGATCGAAGCCCCGTCAGGACTGCAGCATGACGTTGTCTTGCTCCTCAAGAGAGGGAGGGTAAAGCTGCAACGATATTGCCATTTCCCGACTTCTCCTCTGGCAGGAAGGCTGAGGTTAGAGACACAGGGTGCTTTTTCCTTCTTTAGCTGGGTCTGATGGCACAGGAGGTTTCCAATGCTGGTTAGAAAAGGGGCTGCTCAGTGGGATGGACCATGCACATACCAGGATCTCATGAGTAATCCTCGCTGCAGGTGGGTGGTGTGCCCCTTTGCTGGAGCAGCTGTGCTTTTGTTATACAAAATCTCTAAGCAAGTTGATTTTGTGCACATGCACCTGAGTACTCAGAAATAGCAAGGCCTGTTATCACTTCTGTGTTGCACAGTGGGCAGGGGACATCAGCTGTTGAGCCCTCACCATCTCTCTTGAGTGCCTCTTCTCTGCTCACAGCCAGCTTATTTCTGAACAGAACTTTTATATCCTTTAGGAGTGGTTTCTTGCCTCTGTCTACCTGTTGCTCTAACAGGAAAAAGGATGCCATGTTTGATGTGCTATAAATGGTCTGCTGAAGCATAGGAACTTCCAGTCTGAGTCATTTCAGCTGTGATTCTATAGGAGCATGGGCATTCGGGCATAACAAACTTGATTAACTGGAAGTAGTGGCATTTGTTATGAATACAGGGCATCCTTTTAAGCCTTGTTCTGCTGCTGTGGAGCTTTACCTCTCTGTCTCGGCTTCACACATACACACACACACACATGCATCTTTCAGTTTGTATTTCATTTGTACCAAACCCAGTTTCTGCCCGCGGCTCTGCAGCAGGCAGTACCCGTCAAGCAGGACGGCACTGTGCAGGCTCTGTGTGTACGAAGAGCAGAAGGATGGTCTGTGCCCCAGTGTGTTTGCAATCTGAGTGTGCCCACAAACAGACAAAGTGCGGGGGTATGCTGGAAGCAGGCGGTGGCTTGGCGGTAATGTTGCTTGAGGAAGAAGGGGGACAAAGTTGAGCAGAGTGCGGGCAGTGATTTCATTATGTCCAGGGGTCTCTCTCCGCTCTGCTTTATGGACCTAGCAAAAAAAAAAAAAGAGGGGGGGGGGGGAAAAAAAGCCCTGTAGGCGCTTGAGCTGGAAGCAGATGTGTCCAGGTGTGCAGACCTTGCATGTCCCTGTGGCGTGGCCGGGGAGAGAGGTCCTCACAGGCCCCTGGTACAATCTGCTTGGCTGGGGAGATGCCTGGGCATGGCAGCCTCTGCCCTCAGCTGTTTTTTCTCCAGAGAGGGTAGAGATCAGGCACAAAAATGTCATCTTGTTGCTGTTTCTTCCTCTCTCCTTTTGCGTGTGCCTCCCTTGTGCGTTCTTTGTAAAGAAACAATAACAAAAAGACGGAAGAAAAGCTAGGTTTTCCCGCCATGTGCAGAGGCAGCAATACCGTGACCTTTCTCCTTTTGTGCTAGAAGGGGTAGTTTTTACCAGTTAGAAGATGACAAAGCCAGAAAAGGGGAGGTATCCCGTAAAACCTTCCTATAACTTCAAGGAAGATGAATGACAGGAATGAACGAGAAGGATTTATCTAATATTGTACCACAGCTGTGCTACAGCTTTTCTTCTGTCTTCTTTCTTGGTCTACATCTGCAATAAAAAGTTGGAAGGCTTCAGTGGCCACTGTAGCAGGGGGATTGTGCTGGGGATGGTGATTCAAAATCCTCACCACCCCATCTGTTTCATACTGGAATCGGGAATAAAGATTTTGTTAGCTTCTCACATGTGTTTGGACCTAACTCCTGTGCCCCCTCCCAGCTTCTTTCCTCACCATCTTTCCCACGGCAGCCGTCTTCAGGGCTAGTTTCTGGTTAGACCCCAAAGCAGTGTTTTCATCCCCTTCCACACTCATCCCTCTTTTGCAGCTTGCTCAAAGAGCCAGCTCTGCTTGCAGGACACCTTCACCTGGCATTGGCCAGCCCCTCATAGATCAGATGTTGATGTGAAGCTGATCCTGATGGTTTCCAAGGGAAGTGTGTCTCCTTTCTACATGTTGTCCAACAGCCATCAGCTACCTGCTCTCCGCTGCGGGTCATGGACTTGCTGTCCCCTCGCTGCTGCTGAGGCTATGGAGGAGCAGAAGCATTCCCACCACACCCCTTCCATCCCCAAACCCACATCTGTCCCACTAGGATAGTGGCATGTGGATGCTGTATTTGAACTCTTTGGGTGAACTTTGAAGAGGAGGTGGGGAGGTGGACCTCAGGGATATTCCTGCAATTTAGTGTGCACTTTCCTTGTCACTGCAAGTTGTCCCCATCCTGATAAAACATCTTGTCAAGAGGGACTTCTGCCCGTGTTTTTTCTGCCTGTGCTAGAAACGAGAAGTGGTGGGGTGAGAGCTGGGAGGAGGGGAGGAGGGCACAAGGGCTGTATCGACACGTCCCACGACCGCTCGCTCACAGTAGAAAATCCTTTCACCTGCCAGGAGCTATCATTAGACAAGGAGACACTGGACTTTTTTTGACTCGAAAATGAACTTTAGGAGGATTTTCCTAGTCAAGTGCATGCTGCTTTTATTTCCCTGTGTAAAATGTGAGTTTTTCTTACCGTTTCTTGCTTTTTTGGGCTAGCGTTGTTAAAATTGCATTTTAGACCATTTACAACTTGGTGGGATGTTACTGATAAGAATCCAGTTCCACTTTCCCAATGAGTGAAGACCTTTGGGCTATCGCTGCTATTATTAGATTTAATTTTCAGTTGGGGGGAGGGCAGGACCCGAGTTTCCTATTCCAGTTATAATAATAAGCTGTAAACAGTTTTGGGTTTAAGTTAACGAGCCTTAATTTGACACATGTATAATGCAAAATGTCAGCATGCAGCTTTCTCTCTGCCCTGGAGGTAGCTTGTACTACATTAGAGATCCAGTTCATGGTGCATTATCGCATGTAATTTCCTTTTCTTATCAAAGATGAGCAAATCTTTTGAAAGTGCAAATTATATTCTTACATATATATTAACAGAAAGAGTGATATATCTCAGTGTCTTCAGTGGAGTTGAAGTTTAAGATGTGAAAACAGCAAGCAAATGCATACCTCTAATATTTTGTGTATTATTACTCTCATTATTTTTTAAAATATTAATCTAAAAACTTAATTAAAGTGTTAACTCATAGATTAGAGAAAGGTTATAAGAGATGGAGACAATACAATCATGCATAGATTTTTTTTTTCCTCTGTTCATTCCACTACAGATTTTATGTATGGCAGTTTAATGCTTTTCTTTTCCTCCACAACAAAATTAATAGCTAAATAAGGAATTGGGGTTTTTGTACATGATACATAAAACATCTTCCGCAGCAGAAATGAAGATTATTCCCTTGAACATTTCAAAGGGAAAACTTGTTTCAAAGATTTCCTTACTTCTTTAAAGTTACTATGGGAGCTTTTCCTTTTAACTATTTCTTGTGACTGCAAGTGAGCTCTATGCTGCCAGTTTGGACCTTTCTGCCCCTTGGAATGCTTTTCAGTTTGCATTAAGCAGAAATGCTCTTTCATCAGCTAAACAGATTTTTAGTATTATATGTGTGGGATACTCAGCTTTCCATTAGCAAGACTATGGAAATCAGATAAATATCCAGAGATGTGTGTAGATAGTCTGTCCATAGAGATGCCATTGAATTATCCTGGAAAACTTAGATTTTTATTTTTGTTTTCTTCCACAGAGAAAAAATAGATGTATCTGTTATGCAAAGAAATCCTATTACTAGCTCTAAATATCTGTGCGTGACTGAGCAGAAACAAGTACCAGAATTCAAATATTTGGGTATAATCGGCAGTGTCATCTGTGTGGAGGACAGCGGCTTCTAAGACTGATTGGTTGATAGCTTGATGTGAGAATATTTCATTAGATACGCCAAATACCTTGTAGGAAATGCAATGGTGAAATAACAACCTCTCCTTAGACTGGGGTTGAATTACTGGAAGCACTTTGGTATTAGTTTTCTTGTTGCAGAGACACACTTTTTTTTTTGTTCTTTGATTATGTCTAATATTGTCAGTTTCATGAAATAACAATGGGATTTCAGTTTCCCCTCTGTGATATAGTTTATCAATGTCCTAGATACCAGGAATGAAGGACTGCAATAAAAATATGCATAAACATAGTTTTTCTCTCTGGGCAGAAAAAAGTGCTTAAAATATATAAAATTAGAGCAGAATCAGCTCTATCTGGTGATGTGGAGAGAAATCTCCTCCTGCTGATCGGCTTTATCCTGTAAATTGAAGAGGAACAAACATAAGAAAATGGCAAATGAAATGAGCTGTGGCTCTGAGTGCAGGTTCGGCTATCGGTGAGCTTATCCCACCTGACACTCGTGAGCACTTTTCTACCTCCTCCTGCAAATTGTTCACCTGACACGAGGCTGAGACAGTACCTTACTTGAAGTGACCTCCTGACAAACTTTGCACTCCAAAGTCCCGGTTCACCAGAGATGGGCCTTGCGGAGGCTGTGAAGGAGCCGGGGGGGAGAGGGCACGCTGCCTGGGCACAGCCTAACGAGTACATCATCTCCATGGGTAGTAACAGGACTGATGCTTAGCAGCCTTGCCTTTCCTGAATATCACCCTCAGCAGCCACACAGTAAGTGCTGCCCAGTCCTGGTGGCACCTTTGGGAAGCACCTACTCTTATCTCTTCTGGAGAGGGGACCTGTCATCAAAGGAGACCTGCACAGAGAAAAGATTTTTTTTTTTTTTTTTTGGCCTTTGCTTGTCTCCTGATGTCTCCAGTGCCTGATCAGTTCACAGGATGCGGTTAGTTGTTTGTTTCTCCCTGCCTTACTGGCCCCTTGATGATCCTGTGCTAGTAAAATCAAGTGGGTATATTCCAGCGGGGCAGGGTGCCTGGGGTGGGTGAGGAGGGGGTGCTGCAAGCTGGCAGCACTGGGTCTGCCTCCAGTTCAGTGCCTTACACTCACTCACTGCTTGACATGGGCCACTATTATTGTTATCATCACTGTTATTGCTGAACTGATCCTACTGTCCAGGGCCATGGCTAGTTTGTGTTCTTGCTGTCCACAGCAATGTTTGCAGTGGTGGGCGCTCTGAGTACCAGCCTGTTCCACGTGCAAAACACACCGAAGTGACCTTATTTTCTGGAAGGGTTAAGTTCGTGGGGAGCCGTGAATCTTGGCATCTGAAATCACTCCAAATAAGTCAGCCAGTGTATAAAGCCAGATATTGAAAGCTGGACTCTTATCTTCCTCATGTCTCAAAATTAAATTAGGTGCTGACATTTATCTAATGACCAACCAAGAGGCGCTTTGGAGCAGGGGAAGAAGGTAGTATCAATAATACAGAGAGGCTTAGGCAAGTCAGAGGGGGGTAGCAAGTGACAACCTTTTGGGTCACTGCTGTGGCTGCCGAGCATGACAGCGGGGGCTGCTGGAGACGCGCTGACAGGCTGGTTGTGCTTCCCTTTACAGGCTCCACCACCAACTGGATTTACATGGCCGTGAATAAGACAGCTCTTCTCAGCATCGCTGCTGCTGGAAGCGTATATGATGCAACGTGGCTGAGAGACAGAAATAAGTTGCTTCAGATAAAAGATAACAAGGTTAAGTACTATGCAAAAAAGGAGCAGTGCAGGTGTAAGGTATTCCTAAATGGGACTCTGCAAATACAGCAAGTGGTGAAAGAGGACAGTGGGAAGTACAAGGTGACTGTTTATGAGCCGGATGGAAGATTGAAGGCAGAAGAATATACTATGTTCATCGTTCAGGGTGAGTTTTTGCTCTTCCTATACCATTCTGTCATGGTTTAATGCCAGCCGGGAGTTAGGACCATGCAGCTGCTTGCTTACTCCCCCGCAGTGGGATGGAGGAGAGAATCAGAAGAGTAAAAGTGAGGAAAAACTCATGGGTTGAGATAAGGACAGTTTAATAGGTAGAGCAAAAGCCACGCACACAAGCAAAGCAAGGAATTCATTCACTGCTTCCCATCAGCAGGCAGGTGTTCAGCCATCTCCAGGAGAGCAGGGCTCCATCACATGTAACAGTTACTTGGGAAGACAAATGCCATAACTCTGAACATCGCCCCCCTTCCTTCTCCTTCCCCCAGCTTCATGGGGGGTATGGAATGGTATGGAATATCCCTTTGGTCAGTTGGGGTCAGCTGTCCTGGCTGTGTCTCCTCCCAGCTTCTTGTGCACGCCCAGCGTACTCACTGGCAGGGCAGTGTGAGGAGCAGAAAATGTTTTGGGGGAACTTTGGTGAGACGTACCTCTTTCCTCCCGCCACTGACAGCAGTCTGCCGCTCTTCTCCCTTCTCTTGCTCCTGTTGGTGCCCTCTGCTCCCCTGCTTCTTTCTGGCTCCCCTCTCTGTCAGCCGCCAGGTTTCTACGTGTGGCCGAGCAAGCAGCCATGAGCACGTCCGTGTTGGTGGCAGGGTGAGTGTGGGTGTCCCTACTGCAGCACCGCAGGCGCTGCCGGGACCCCTCGGGCCCTGAGCTGTGGCAGCACCACGCATGCTGGCAGCAGCACCCTGCTTCCAGAAACCTCTTCTCAGAGCGCAGCAACCTATGTGAGGTACACCTGTGGCTGATGCATTGTGCTCTTCTGGCACTTCTGGTGCTATTTTACGGGCAGTGAGTTATGACTTTTGGTGTCTAGCTACTGCTCCAGCAAGGTGAGCACCTTGCGTTGCATCTGCCCACCTCCTGAGGAGAGCTCTGGAGCCCAGGTGGCACTAAGTGCCTGTATTTAGGCAATGCAATCCCACTCCATTTTTGCTCTAACATAAAAAATAGCCAGCGGTCACCTCCTCTGAGATACACAATAGGAGTTGAATGTGCAGGGGGAGAAAAGTCCTGCACTCTATCCTCCCATTAGCATAACACAACAAATACGAAGATTGTGCTGTTCAAAGCACACTTAAGCGTGCGCCTGGCCGTTTCAGCTGCATGGGTTCAAAACGTGAAGGCAGCCTCCATTCCTGTGCTGCATCTTACCCTGACAGATCAGAGCGGTATCATCCCAAAGCTTTTGGGATGAGTAGGGAAGATGGGGATGGCTATTCTGCTCCTTATGGCTGTTGCTACCTCTCCAGAGCTCCAAGCTGTAGGGCAGCATGTGGGCTTTTTTTTCCCCAGCAAGAGGATGATTTTGCTCTGTCCTTCTTCAGCCAGCATGCACGCCTCTGCCAACCTCTTGAGTCTGTGGGCACCAGCTGACACTACAGAAATGATGCCTTGATGGGGCAGCAATGAAAGCTGGAATAGTTTTAGCAGGGTTTCTGCGCAGCGGGAGGCCCCGTGGCTATAACGGACTGCTGAGCCGCGAGGGTGCCTCACTACTTTGGGAATTATTATTGCAAACTGTCTACAGGTTCAGGAAGTCATCGGGGCCTGATGCTGTTTACTCATGCTTTAAGCCACTGAGCTCTCATTGGGCTGTCCTAGGTTCAATTTCAGGTTAAGGTTCCGACCGAGCTACGTGCTGCATCATTCCGTCTACTGTGCAGCAGAGAGGTTGCCTTAACTCTGAGAAGCGGTTTTGCAAGTAAAGTCCTTTAGTAACTCTGGGGTGCTAGAATTATTTGTCAGCCAGATTCTACTTTGTTACTAGGGTTGGACAACCAGTTGTTCCCAAAAATGGTAGTTTAGATGGTACCATCACACAACTCCATCACTGGGACATGGACCATAGTATTTCACACTGGAATGTTCCCCTGAGTGATAGGTTACAGCTTGGAGAAGAGGAGTGGGCTTAACAAGAAGAAGGTGGCTGCAGATGTCACAGCGTGAACCTAGACTGCATTTGCTACGAGCAGCCCTTCAAAGTTCATGATTTCTATAAGTTACACTGCCTTTAACTAGAGGTGGCCCTGGCATGTTTTTGTTTACCTGGTCCGAAAGGTAGAAATTAATTCTTTTCCATCTCACGTCCCCACCAGTTGCCCCTAGTTGAGGAAAGCCCTGCAGGCTTTTCTGGCTTTTTCAGAGCCACCGGTGACAGAGAATCTGGAACCAAAATGCAGCTGGCTGCTTGCAGGGCATAAAGAGAGACAGGCATCAGTTCTCTCTGTCATAACCTCATTGAGAGCTAAGAGGTGTCTGTTTTGTGTTTTCTATTCTGTTTTGATGGGTTTTCACGCTGTGGCTGTCGTGCTAGCTGAGTGCCGTTGATGGTACCTAAAGCGTCACATAAAGCATCATAAGTAGCCGTTTGTCCTGCCTTAGAGGAAATCTCTCCTGATGGGCACAGACAGATCAGAGGCGACTTCATTTGCACCAAAATATTGGGGACAGAGTTGGAGGGGCTGTGGCTCGGAGTCCCTCACATCTGCTCCCCCCCCAATACACTTGCTCTCGCCTACCTGGGCTGGCTGTGAGCCAAGCTGAGCCAGAAAGTAGTCCGGCCATGGGGGTGCAGCTCTGCTTTGCTAGGCCAAATACGTAGGCTAATATACTGCATTTTCTTTATTATTGCCACATTACTTCTGTAGTAGAGGTCTAATTTGCTCTTCGTTCTTCTCTGGTCTCATTAGCTAGTGTTACTCCCTCACTGCTTATTGGGGGCTAGTTCTGTTCTGCTTAATAATGGAGGTTTTCAAAAGGAGAAACCATCTCAGATGTGCCTGTCCCTTTTCTTTTTCAGAGCCTGTCCCTCAGCCAATCCTCAGTGCTGAATGCAGGAATAAAACTGTATCTGTCAAGTGTGAAGTGAAGCAGAAGACTAAAGACGAAACATTTACAATAGAACTGACTCAAGATAAAATTAAAAAAATCCAAAAGAATGCAACGAAGTTGGAAATGCACATGCGGAATTCTGGGACGTTCCGATGTGTTGTTAAGAACCAAGTCAGTGAAAAAATGGCTGAAAAAGTAATTAAGTGCTCAGGTAAAAAAAAAAAAATCTATTTTTGCTAGAATCTGCTAGGGGGGATGCACAATGCCTGACGCAGTTGCGTGTATCTGTAGGACTGGTCCAGGTGCCAGAAGCATCGATTGTTCCTGGCACCCGGTCTTGCGCGTCTACCACCGCTGCAGTTATTGGGAGCTGACACTACCATGGTAGCCAGCATGTGAGTCATGCTTTCTGCTTGGTCCTCCCCAGCCTTGTCACATCTCCACCCTGCCCACCCTGCTGCTGCTTGCCCCACTGCTACCCTTATGGCATCCCTGTGCTTACAGCAGAGAGGCCAAACTGGGGGCAGTGAGATGCGAGGTGGGCCATGCTCTTCCTCTTCTCTTGTGGCTGGAGGTGTTTTCCCCCATGCTCAGTGGGTCCTAGGGGTCTCTGGAAGAGGGGGAGAGATTTTTCTGGATTCAAGAGCCATGTGGGTGGCAGGGAGGAGCGTGGGGTGCAATGAGATGTTGCTTCCAGTGGGGGTGAAGTCTCCTGGGGAAAACTGCAGGCTTCCAGGGAGATCAGGCTAGCTGAGGGGTGAAATGAATGAGAGAGATGTTCTTGCTCATTTTCTCCCTCCCCTCCATCGCTGCTGACTCTTCCAAAAGATGCCAGAGGTATCCTGACAGACTTTTTGGTGTCAGCATCCTGATAGACTCAAGTGGTGTCAACTATCACTAGTGGTAGACCAATGAAGTAAAGGAGAAAGCAGGGAGGTGGGCCTGAAAGTGTTTTAATCACACACAGCAGTCTGCAAAAGACAGAAAGCCTTTCCACCTCATTTTTATCCTTCTTTATTCTTTTAAAACTAATGGAACAGTTGACTTTGGTCAACCAGTCCAAAGCCAAAGAGTTAACTTCAGTAACACAGTATGAAACTACCTAAGCTACCATGACATAAATGAATAGCTTATTTTTTGGAAAATATGGCTTGGAATCTTCTCCTATGTATATGAAGCCATGGTATTGATTTCAGGGGATTTGCTCTTGATTTACATTCTCATGGTGGGGAAATCGGTTGCACATTATTTTTCTCCTCTCCATGATCATGCCTATGAAGGTGGTGGTTGCCAGCTACCTGTGGCTGTGGATGGGTGCCCTCACAAGGCGAAAAATAAGCTGCTTGTACTCTCTAGCTTGGCCTAGAAATCAAGAGGGAGGTTATTCAGAATTCAACTGAGGTTTGGGGTTGCATGGCTCAAATGTACCATGGGTTTTCTTACTCACTTGAAGTGTCATCTTTCTAAATTGCAGATGCATCAAAAAAACTGAAGGAATTGCATTTTAAATGGGCAGAGTCATGCTGAAAATGGTTAGATAAGCAAAAGAACTCATCGCTTTCCCCATAAAAGTTTTGAAAGCTAAGGCAAAAACAAGGGACAGATCATATTGGTATGATGTTGGATGTGGTGTTCAGTTCAAAGTTCAGATTTCCAGTGCAGTACTGGGGAAAAGTCCTTGAATTTTCTGGGGTTGGGTTTATCCCACCTAACTGCGAGTACTTTGCTTAAAGCACTTTCTTGCTCTAGACTCCCACTAGAGCCAGTGAAGAGTGGGGGGCTCACAAGAGCTGGCTCAGCATTTCCAATGTCCAGCTATTTCTGCCATAGCGAATTTAGGGAAAGTCCAAGTTAAAAGGCCAGCCTATGGTGTGAGAAGGAAGAGAGCAAGCCTTAAGGTATAGACACCTTCCAGATCTAAGGTCTGCTGAGGCTGACTGAAGGGGAAATTGCTGAGGGATGGGGTGGCCTCTGCTCGCCTGTGCAGCCCTTGCCTCCTGAAGGATCCCCCTGCTGCCTAAAATAGCCAAAAAAAGGTTGGTTTCTGCTGCGTGAGCTGCCTGACTTGCTGGACTACACAGTCCTGTGGGTGCTAGCACTGGGAAGAAGCTGGGGTGTGGGGGAGTGGGATGTGACATGGACTTTGGAGTCAGGTATGAAAACACGCTGCTGGATTAGGTCTATTTAAGGCAGGGCAAACTAGCCCAAACACGTTGTCTTAATGAGGAAGTGCTGGCTGAAGCTGGCCATCCCAGGGCACAAGCTGGGCAAGCACGGGCCTGCCTGCATTGCTGGTATAGGGAGACATTAGCCATCAGCTAGATGCTTTGGTTTCACTTCTTCTCACCCTTGAGAAATGCTCTTCTTTGACAGGGTGAGTTGGATGTGAGAGTTTGTTTTTTCTCAAATCATTAGCAGAGAAATAAAAGGTTCGCCACGCTGATCTCTAAGGTACAAATAGAGCATTTAGAATCCATTCTGTGATTCTGTGATTTCTGAGACGCCCAAAAAAATGCTAAAACCATGTAGTGCTACCCTTCCCACTCAAACTAAAAATGCCTCAAACCTTTCTGTGTGGTAGCAGGACTCTGCCAGCTCCATAGTAGATGAAAAATCCCTCAGCTTGCAGTGAAACCTCCTTCCAACCCTGCTGCCCTCCATGAACATCTGGTCTTGCATTCGAGGCGTATCACCTTGAATTTTGACCTTTAGTAAGCAAGGTATGCTTCGGATGGGCTTCAGCTCAGCTAACTTTTCATGTAAGTGTAACTATGCGTGAATCTGACTGGTCTCACCTTAGAGTCAGCTGGGAGAAACAGGCACAGAAAGGGCAAAATACACCTCGGTATAACACCGGCAGCTAAAACAGGTGAGAAGAACCACATCACTCGTCTTTTTTTCCACTGGGACAGCCCAGGCTCATAGTGGCCTTTATACTGTAGACATCTCAGCTTTGGTGTCATCATTCTTTCTCTCCATGTTCGTGCCCAGCGAATGTTAAGGGTGGTACCAGTGGTGTTGTCCCCTTTGGAGCTTTGTCCCCCAGGAAGCCAAGGATTGTGCGCTTCTGCTGGGTTTAGCTCCATGGATGAGCCTGTGCTTAAGCGTGAACGCTGAATGCCAGGAAGACAGACCATGCAGGAGGTGACGAAGGCAGGCCAGCATCCAGCAAACCTTATCTGGCAAAAATAAGGAACATTTATATAAATTTTTGCTCCCCAGGCAAATTGAACTCTCATTTTGAGACACTGGGATATTTCGTTATGTTATTTTCATTTTCACTATTTTAAAAATTTGCATACAGCCAAAAATTGAAGAGGAAGTATCAAAATACTATGAAGCAAGCTAGTTTCAATGTTTCCAGCTCAGTAGGAAGTACTTAAAAAGTTTATTTTTGTTAGATGCTGAGCACTGCCTGGATGCTCATGGTCCTCAAAAGGGTCCATTGCTAGCAGGAACAGGACATTTGTGGTAATTTAAATAAGATGAGCTGGCACACATGAATGCTCTGGTTTCAATTTTCTGCAGAACTTGAATACATCAGGGAGAAATCAAAATGCTGGGGGAGGGGAAAATCAGTCCATCCCAGCACGATGCCAAATACCCATAACAGATGCCCAGAACCTGGAGAAGGGTGGCAGGTCAACAGGAGAGCACCTGGGGTGCAGCATAAAGGAATTCCATGCCACTCCAGCCACTAAGTCAGCTTCATCAGGGGCTCAACTTAAATGCCTCTACACAAATGAATGTAGCATGGGGAATAAACAAGAGGAGTTAGAGACATGTGTACGCCTGCAGGACTATGGTCTTACTGGCATCACAGAGACATGGTGGGATGGCTCCCATGACTGGAGTGTTGGAATGGAAGGATACAGGATATTCAGGAAGGACAGGCAGTGGAGATGAGGAGCGGGTGTCACCCTCTATCTTAAGGACCAGCTGAAGTGCACAGACCTCCGCCTGAGGGTGGATGAGGAGCTGACCAACAGCTTATGGGTCAAGATCAAAGGGAGGGCAGGGACAGGTGACATTATAGGGGGGGGTCTGCTACAGGCCACCCAACCAGGAAGACCAAGAGGATGAGGCCCTTGACAGACAGACAGGAGCAGCCTCGCATTAACAAGCCCTGGTCCTCAAGGGGGACGTAAAGCACATTGATACCTGTTGGAGGGACAACACAGCAGGGCATAAGCAATCCAGGAGGTTCCTGGAAGGCATCGATGATAAATTCCTTCTCTAAGTGATAGAAAAGCCAGCAAGGAGAGGTGCCATGCTGGACCTTGTTCTCACCAACAAGGAAGGGCTGGTGGGGAACATGAAACTCAAGGGCAGCCTTGGCTGCAGTGACCATGTGATGGTGGAGTTCAAGATCCTTAGGGCAGCGAGGAGGGTGCATAACAAGCTCATGACCCTGGCCTTCAGGAGAGCAGACTTTGGCCTCTTCAGGGATCTGCTTGGTAGAGTACCATGGGACAAAGCCCTGGAGGTAGGAGAGGCCCAAGAAAGCTGGTTAATCTTCCAGGATCACCTCCTCCAAGCTCAGGAGCGATGCATTCCAACAAAGAGGAAGTTGGGCAAAACCACCAGGAGGCCTGCATGGATGAACAAGGAGCTCCTGGAGAAACTGAAACACAAAAAGGAAGCCTGCAGAAGGTGGAAGCATGGATGGGTAGCCTGGGAGGAATACAGAGAAATTGTCCAAGCAGCCAGTGATTGGGTTAGGAAAGCTAAAGCCCAGATAGAGTTAAATCTGTCCAGGGAAGTCAAGGGCAACAGGAAAAGCATTGATAGGTATGTCTGTGACGAAAGGAAGACCAGGGAAAATGTGGGCCCTCTCCAAAGGAAATGGGAGACCTGGTTACCCAGGACCTGGACAAGGCTGAGATATACAGCAATGTTTTTGCCTCCATCATCACTGGCAAGGGCTCTAGCCACACTGTCTATGTTGCAGAAGGCAAAGGCAGGGATTGGGAGAATGAGGAATGCCCACTGTAGGAGAAGATCAGGTTCAAGACCATCTAAGGAACCTGAAGGTTCACAAGTCCCTGGGACTTGATGAGATGCATCCCTGGGTCCTGAGGGAACCGGCCAATTAAGTTTCTAAGCCACTATCCCTCATATTTGGGAAGTTGTGGCAGTGCAGATGAAGTTCCCGCTGACTGGAAAAGGAGAAACATAACCCCCATTTTTAAAAAGGGAAAAAAGGAAGACCTGGGGAACTGCAGGCCAGTCGGTTTCGCCTCTGTGCCCGGCAAGATCATGGAGCAGATCCTCCTGGAAACTCTGCTAAGGCACATGGAAGATAAGGAGGTGATAGGTGACAGCCAACATGGCTTCACTAGGGGCCAATCCTGCCTGGCAAACTTGGTGGCCTTCTATGACAGGGTTACAACATTGCTAAATAAGGGAAGAGCAACTGGCATCATCTACATGGACTTCTGCAAAGCATTTGACACTGTCCAGTGCAACATCCTTGTCTCTAAATTGGAGACACATGGATTTGATGGATGGACTGCCCGGTGGATAAGGAATTGGCTGGATGGCCACTCTCAAAGAGTTGTGGTCAACAGCTCAATGTCCAAGTGGCGACCATCTCTGGGGCCCTCAACATAAGAAGGACATGGACCTGTTGTAGCAAGGCCAGAGGAGGGCCACAAAGATGATCAGAGGGCTGGAGCACCTCTCCTGTGAAGACAGGCTGAGAGAGTTGTGGTTGTTCAGTCTGCAGAAGAAAAGCTTCTGTGGAAACTTTATAGCAGTTTTCCAGTACCTAAAGGGGGCCTACAGGAAAGATGGGGAGGCTCACTTCATCAGGGAGTGTAGTGATAGGATGAGGGGTAATGGTTTTAAACTGATAGAGGGCAGATTTAGGTTAGGTATTAAGAAGAAATTCTTTACTGTTAGGGATGTGAGAGACTGGTGCAGGTTGCCCAGAGAAGTTGTGGATGCCCCATCCCTGGGGGTTTTCAAGACCAGGTTGGATGGGTCTTTGAGCAACCTGGTCTAGTTGAAGGTGTCCCTGCCTGTGGCAGGGGGGTTGGAACTAGATGATCTTTATGGTCCCTTCCAACTCAAACCATTCTGAGTCTCTATGATTCTATCAAAATTCTCTACAATGAGGACCAACAACTTTCTGCTGTGTGCAGAGAAAAGGCGAAACGTGGGCTTTCTCACTGTGGCTGCCTTTACAGTCAATGGAAGAAAATACAGAATTCTACGCAGACATTGTGCAAATGATTTTGTTTCCTGTAACATCCTCTTTCATTCCCTTAACTAGGCCAGCTGGACCTTTATCTTGTCTTAAGCATAGCAGGAGGTGCAATCTTCTTGGTCATCTTCGTGATTTTGCTTATTTATTGTATCAGGAAGAAGAAAGCAGAAAGGCTTGAAGATGATGGTAAGTGTTTAGGGGACTTTATATTGCTGTCCAGCTAACTAAAATCTTAGAGCTTCTTGCTGAGAGCAGCCCTGTAGGCAGGAGCATTCTCTCTGCCTTGGCATGAGCAGTAACCTTGTTTTGGCATATGGTGTATCTTGGGACACTGGCTGGCATTGCCAGTCTTGGTTTCTGATACATGCTTTGAACAAAAGACTTCTTGTTCTCAAGCCCTTTTGTTTATTCGTGGGGAAGAATTGCTCCTCTAAAGCTCGGCCAAGGCCACCAGTCATGAGCATCTATGAGGCTAAAATATACAATTAGATATCCCATCAGCAGATTTTTTTCATGAAATTTATATGGTGTAAAATTAGGATCTTTGAAATCCTTAGTCGCATTTGGAAACATTGTAGATAGTGCGAAGGGGCAAGAAGGGCTCAGCTTTTCTGTAAATTTCCTCAGGAATCTCACAGAACTTGTCCTCTCTACAAAGCAATAGTCTTGGAGGCCTATCAACATTGGAGGTCCAACCTGGGGCACTTTAAAGACTTGAGGTTTTCAGAGTGGGCCAAAATTGTGTTGTCCAAAATTCATGCCTCTGTAGGACCATAGGAAATACTCTGCCAGAGTCTTCTCTGAGAGTTGGCTCTCAGTCTTGACTGAGAGGTCACTTCGAATTACAACCTGGGCATCGCTGCTGGTTTGGGTGGGTAGAGGATATGGAGCTCCCATTCCAGAAGAGTTGCCTGGTCCACCTGGAAGGGGAGGCTAAAGCAGGAGGGAGGTCACCCTGGCAGGGCTTGTTTACAGGCTTGTTTCGGAGTCCGACCCCCACACACTGTGTCAGGCTTCCTGTGTGGTCTCAAATAACAGCTAGTCTCTGTGTGAGTCAGTTCTCGAGTTAGAAAATGGGACTAAAAACTTCTTTGTACACCACAACAGTCTGTCAAAATAAGGAGGGCGATGCCTGAAGGAAGCCTCAGCTGATACCTCAAAGGTACTTTTGGTCAGGCTGACAAGGGTGAGCATGACCAGTCCCATAGCTGAGGGGAGCACAATCTCACTGCACCAGAGCGTGGGTAACTCACCATGGCCCTCCTGCTTCCTCTGAAGTTACAACCGTGAACCTTTCCCCGTTTGCTGGGGGAGCTCACCACAGTGCAACCACAGGATGTCATCTCAGAAGGCTTGCCATAGCTTGTGAGCGTAATGCTGGTGTGAGCATAGCCATGAGTGCTATTTACATTATGGCTGTTCTTATTTGAGTGGGATACATTACTCCCTCAACGGTACAGTGATAGCACATCCACAATTCTTGTGTCTGGATTCAGCAAGAATTAAGAAAAAGAGAAATCTGGGAAAATGACAACTAATATAAGAGGGTGACTAGCCTCTTTGAAACAGTTTGGTGTGTGCTTAAGGCCATTTCAGTGTCCCAAGAAGTAAATCCCTCAGTCCCTGAGCTAAGCTGACTGACATATCAAAAATGATGAGTCGATGATCAAAAGTCAGCTGGGACAAATTTACTTCTATGTGTGGGGAAATAATTGCTTCCAGGTGCCTGGAGATCCCAGCATGGATAGTTGCAGGCCAGAGTGCTTTGATACTGCTTCCTTGGGTTACCTCTCACTTTCCCTTCAGTGACCTGTTTCCAAAAGAGCAGCTCAGGCTGGGGATGTCCATTGGTGACCGCTGGGGCCTCCCCAGCAAAGTCGGTTCCCCCAGCACAGAGAGGGCAGAGCTGCCCCAAACACCCCCAGCTACCTTGACCTCAGCCAGGCAGCCAAAAATCTTTTGGGGTTGCCTGGGATGTGCAGGTGGAGGTGATTTTGCTTCTTCACTAGAGTAGCAGGAACACCTGAGGGTGACAGTGGCCTTCCAAGTAAGACCAATATTTGGCCAAGCACTTTCCACTGGCTGTACAACTTCTGCTTAGCGTGTGCCTGATTATGGGATCCTTCTGTCATTGCAGATGAGGAGCGAATGATGCGGGCTCGCCAGGTGGACAGTGAAATGGTGGTGCGGGAGCTCCCTCAGACGCAGTGCAATCCCACCCCGAAGCAGCTGCGAGTGCAGCAGCGGCCGCTGCCGCAGCCCCAGATGCAGCAGCAAGCACTGCCCCCGCGGCCCAAGCCCCGCACTCAGCAGCGGACTCCAAACCACCCGAGAGAAAAACCTTGAACGTCTGCCCTGGGAGGGACAGTGGTCTCTCTGCTCCACCATTCACTGGGGAAAGAAAGTTTCCGATAGTCAGGAACCCCTCCCGCCCAGCCTTGCATAATGCTCAGCTATAAAACGGCAGCTTTCGTTGCAAGAAATTAGAGCATCAAATGGAGATGAAGAGACCCAGTGGAGGAGATTCAAGGTGATGGGCATTCATCCCTGTGGCCGTTTTTCTTCAAGTGTCTTCATGTTAGGGTGTGGAGCATTGAGCCTTGAAACCTGTGTCTTTCTGCGGTTCACTTGTTTTTACCACACCTTGTCTTCGTGCTTTTTGGATGGATTATATCAAGAAGAAGCTAAAGCTCTAGTGGGACAACATGGGCCTAAGGATCTTACAAGGTTTTGTCATGTATCTTTCCTTTCTCCTGCCACACATTAGGACAGCCCTCTGGCTTCGGCATCAAATGCATGACCTCCTGGATCAAAAAGTAGTTGTATGTAATTAAATGCTTGTCTGAAGTTGAAAGAATTGGTGTCATCTAATGCAGAGAAGAAAATACTGAAAGGAGATGTGAGAGCCTTGAAGCATTTATGTGGGAAAAAATGCAAGTGGGAAAGGAATAAACTTTTCACTTTCTCTAACATGTTTAGAACAAGAAACCACGGGCTTAAATTGCAGCAAGGGAGAATTAGGTCAGGAGTTTTAAATTTTTTTTTTTTTTCAAATGAAGCACTGAAATAGATTTCTGGGAGAGGATCTCCAGCACTGGGGCTTCAAAGGGCAGATGGGGCAACCATCTGTGAGGCATCCTTGTCCTCCTGAGGGCCAGGGGAACGTGCTACACAGCCTCTCCGATGACTGTTTCAGCTCAGTTTTCCATGAATCCTTGCTGGCAAATAAAATGAAAATTTATGCTCAGCATAGGTCTGTTCGGCTATCCAGACATATTTATTTTTTTTTGTCATAGAAGAGGTCTGGTATCCATTGGCTCATGAAACAAGTATCACAAACTGCCAAGCAGTCTGATTACTAGTGGCATTGTCTGAATTGTTGTGGCTTTCCATCGTAGGGCCTCCTGCTAATGGTGAGGGATCGTGTCCCTTGATTTTGCTGGTAACCTCCTCTGTAACCAGGTGATGATAGAGAACTGCTGAGAGTTCTCCCTCCCAAAGGGAGAGGTTGGACTGCAGTAGCTGTGCCTGCATCGCCCTCCAGGTGCTGGACAAACTCTGCTCGCTCCGCGGGTCCTTGGAGATGTTCATTACTGCCTCTACGGGTGCCGAGAGAGGACAGGCCTTTTCAGAGCAATGTCAAAATGGTACACTGGCCCATCTGGTGTAAGAGGCAGCCCAGGTAAGAGGAGGAGAGAGCTGCAAGAGCCACAGAGCACAAGACATCTAGTTAGCATATTGTTACGTTAGACAGAAGAACGTGTAGTACCTCTTTCAGACTTGACTATCTTACACGTGTCAGGGGAGATAAAACAGATGTCCTTTGTTTCTCTTCAGAAATTTGTCTATTTTTATCTTCTGGTACAAGGGCAGGGAAGCAACTTGTCAGGAAGAAGGAGGTCTCTGCTGGCTCCAGAGCTCAGTCACTTTGCTTGAACTTTGATGGTGGACACAGCCCTGGGAGTGTCCCTTGCTCTCGCCTTAGCTTTCTGCAGCTTGTTTTAGGGCTTTTGCAATTTAAAGTTGCATTTGGTAAACATTTCATGGTTTATTTTGTAACATATGTTATATCCCTGTACTGAATGAATAAAGATAAGAGTGGGTGGACAGGATTTTACTTCACACCCGTGCTGGTACTTCAGTATCTGGATCTCGCTTTGGTACAAAGGAGGCAAGAAAGAAAGGTGTGTTGGTCCCTGAGCCACAGAAACATGGATGCAGGAGGTTTCGCACCAGTTCCTGGGAGCTACTGCCTGCTGGTGGGCTCAGGTCGGCATCAGTGAGCACAGTCACTGTGCCTGCCTGCCTGGGCTGGGACTCCTCTGTGGTTATGACAGCGCACCGGTCCTGGTCCTTCCTGGGAGAGAAGGAGGATTACTGGGACCTGAGGAGGAGGGCAAGCTCCTTCTGTTCATTCCCTTTGAATCACGGGGACTGATTAGTGCTCTCTGTGCCCTGGGCTTAACAAATATCAGCAAAGCTTTGCAGATGCTCCTTCCCCACGGCTGAGGATTGGTGAGCTTCTGTCCTGCCCCTGAGAGATGCTCCCTGGCTTCCCAGCAGCTGCTGCCCCAGGCCCTTCTCTGCCTGGGGCTGGTGGGGTGACACTTAGCACAGCTCCTTGTAGGGGAGCACCAGTGCGTACATGAGGTGGTGCCAGGGTGACTCTGTCCCACACAGAGGTGTGCTGGCTCTTCTGTCTAGGAACTGCAGCACGAAGCTAAGTCATGCCCAGGATAGGAACAGGAGGCAAGAAGCTTTTCTACTGTTGGTCACAAACTGGGTCCAAACCTGCCCTCGAGACTGGGCTTGAGACTACCCTGTGGACCGTGGAAACCTCTGTTGTCTCAGCTTAAGGCGTGTGAGGGCTGAGCACACCTGAAAGCTGCCCTTGGATTCCCTTCCTGAGGAGTGGGGCTGCCAGTGGGCACCCTGAGTGCAGGGCAGGCCAGAGGCCATGACAGTGGGCATGAGTGAAGTGTGGAGGTGCATGTTTTAATACTGCCCTCCACCTGGTTGCTGTAACCATGGGCTGAGAGAAGCACTCTCAGCCTCCACCAACTCACTGAGGTCTCCTCTGGGTTATTAGACTCTTTTCAGCTAAATGTTTCTCTTCTATGTGCTAAGAGGCTCAAAGTTAAGTAAAAAGAGCTGAGCTTAGCCCTGTTGGTTGGATTTGCACCAAAACACAGTGCTCTGTCAGGCAGACAAGAAAATACTATGAACATAGGGAGCACAAAAGTAGTACCATCGCTCCCACGTGCAATGGGAATCTCATCAGGGCAATATTTATTTTTGATTGATGCCTTTTTTTTTTTCTCATAGTCACCTTTGTTTTTGTAAAGTCTAACGTTCCTGATGCACTGCAACGGATGATACTTGTACTGTCCCGAGTTCTACTAGGTGCCTACTTGAAAAGTCAGCAATTTTTCTGAATGTGTGTCATGGAGCATTCAAGTCTCGGGTTTTTGTGCTGTAGAGGATGTTTCAGTTCTAGAAAATGATCAGACAGTGAGACCTAAGACATAACAGTACGTGCTTGGCTCTGGTGATACTTGGTGTAACCTTTCGTGGTTCTTCTTTCACAGACACATCTACCAGTGAGTCGCACAAAATAAAGTGGTGTTCCCCATTCTTTTTAAGGGGAATGAGACGAGAGGGCTGACGTGCTTAGCTGTGCTCTGTAGGGACGCTGCCTTGTCCTCCCCGATTGGAGAGATGCAGTTTATGCTGCCCGGGTGTTAGCAGGGATCACTTTTGCTTGGTGAGGTGCTGCAGAGAAAACGCTGAAGGAATGGGAGGAATATGCAGTCCCATGATCAAAACAGGTCTGCAAGTCATGCTGTGGTACTGCAGCGCTCGCTGCTTTTGCAGCCTGAGTAGGCACCCAAAAGAGCAATGGTTGGTTCTACAGAAGATGCAGATCTTCTATTCCAGTCTTAATCCACGTGACATCAGCAGCACTTGCTGCCTAAACTTGGCCTTTCTGGTAAAGTAGAAGAGACCTGCTTGTATCTCAGCCAGGCGTTAGCCAGTCCAGAGGGAGACTCTTGCTTCTGGCACAGGCAGTGCTGGAGCCAGCTAGATAATTTCATTTCTAAAATAAAACTCTGAGCCTGTAAAAGGTCAAGTAGGAAACCATGGCTAGTTCAAATGTCTTTCTTGGGATGCTTGCCAAAATAATGCTATGGGGAAATGACACCGATTTTGTCCTTATTCTGCAACAAATCTTCAGTCTCTGATGTGGAGATAAACCCCAGCTGGGACTGTGTTGCCCACCGGCTCCCTTCTTCATTCTGACAGACCGGGCATTATCTCTTCAGCCATGCTGAAGCCTTGCAAAAGGCTTAAGAAATGCTGGGTTTGTCTTTCAAACTGTAGTCCTCTGTGGGGTGTGCTACGGGCAACAGCCAGGAGCAAAGCTCCGCTAGGTAAGCAAGGTGCTAGGTAAGCAAGGTGCTCCACCAATGCTCCTTGCAGGTCCTGGCCATGCAGCGAGCAGGCTGGCATGGTTGTCACCTTCTGATCCCCAAACTGGCTGATGTGGTCACCCTGGGCCTGGAAGGACTGAAGGGCTTGTTCATGTGCTCTGAGTGATAATGTGAAAAAGTCTGGCTTCAGACTTTTGGATAAAATCAGTTTGTAGTAGCTATCAAGCTTGTGAAATAACCCTGCTGGGCGATCCTATCTCATGCCGTGGGGAGAAAGACAAGAATTAATTGAAGGTGAGCACATTAAGAGGCCCTGTGCCAATAAAGCGGCCTCCTGGCCTTCTCTCCCACCCTCATCTCAGAGGAGGCAGGCCAAATCCAGCCTTCTGCTCACCCTCTCCCCCAACAAAATGCTCCTTCTGTCCCTGCAGGTGGGAGTTTACAAAAACACCTTTTCCCATCCTTGCAGCCCAGCTGCAACCTGGCTGCTGCCTTGAGCCATGGGTCAGCAGAGGCTTCCTTCCCTCAGGGGTGCAGCTTTAGCCTTTACCCCTGCAGAGGGTTGCCAGAGCAGCTGCTCGAGGGGCCTCTGATGCTCACCCCAAACTGAAATTCCCCTCTGGTCTGCCTCTGGAGAGGGAGAAAGCTGCAGCTCTGCAGGCAGAGGGTGAAGTCACTGCCCTGGTTTGCTATAGGTGGGCTCCAAGCACCTTCTGCCAAGAAGGAAGCCACCCCTGATACATCTGTCCTGAAAGATCAGAAAGGAGTTGACACCCTGACTGCCTCCCAGCTCCCTTTTGGAGGGGAGGATTGCAGTGAAAGTAAGAAACTGAGTAAAATTTCTCACCCTTTGTGGGTTACCCTGGTGGGGCAAAGGCAAACAACCCCAAGCCGGTGAGGATACAAACCTACAGC